GGTCAGAGACGTGACGGTTTTTTTTCAGTGTCCCTCGGAGGTCAGGGATATGTGCCGTTTTTTTTTTTGGTCCCTCGGGGGGCAGAGATGTGGAAAGTTTTGGTGTCCCTCGAGGGCCAGAGATGTGATGATTTCGGTTTCGGTGTCCCTCGGGGGCCAGAGAGACCAGAGATGTACTGGACAGTTTTCAGTGTCCCTCGGGGGGCCAGAGATGTGATGGTTTTCAGTTATCCTTTGGGGGCCAGAGATGTGATGGTTTCAGTATCCCTCGGGGTGCCAGAGATGTGATGGTTTTTGGTCGTCCCTCGGGGGCCAGAGATGTGATGGTTTTCAGTTGTCCCTTGGGGGTCAGAGATGTGATGGTTTCAGTATCCCTCGGGGGCCAGAGATGTGATGGTTTTGTCATCCCTCGGGGGGCCAGGAGATGTGATGGTTTCAGGTGTCCCCTCGGGGGGCCAGAGATGTGATGGTTTTGGTGTCCCTCGGGGGGGCCAGAGATGTGATGGTTTTTGGTGTCCCTCAGGGGGCCAGAGATGTGATGGTTTCAGTCGTCCCTCGGGGGGACCAGAGATGTGATGGTTTTGGTCGTCCCTCGGGGGGGCCAGAGATGTGATGGTTTTGTGTCCCTCGGGGGCCAGAGAGATGTGTGTCCCTCGGGGCCAGATGATGGTTTCAGTGTCCCTCAGGGGGCCAGGAGATGTGATGGTTTCAGTGTCCCTCAGGGGCCAGAGATGTGAAGTTGTCCCTCATGAGTTTGATGGTTTTGTCCCCTCGGGGCCAGAGATGTGATGGTTTCAGTGTCCCTCAGGGGGGATAGTGAGAGATGTGACTCAGGTTTTCAGTGTCCCTCGGGGCCAGAGATGTGATGGTTTTTTTGTCCCTCGTGGGCCAGAGATGTTGGATGGTTTCGGTGTCCCTCGGGGGCCAGAGATGTGACAGTTTTCAGTGTCCCTCGGGGGCCAGAGATGTGATGGTTTCAGTGTCCTTCAGGGGGCCAGAGATGTGATGGTTTCAGTATCCCTCGGGGGCCAGAGATGTGATGGTTTTGTCGTCCCTCGGGGCCAGAGATGTGATGGTTTCAGTGTCCCTCAGGGGGGCCAGAGATGTGATGGTTTCAGTATCCCTCGGGGGCCAGAGATGTGATGGTTTTGTCGTCCCTCGGGGGCCAGAGATGTGATGGTTTTCAGTGTCCCTCAGGGGGCCAGAGATGTGATGGTTTCAGTGTCCCTCGGGGGGCCAGAGATGTGATGGTTTTTCGTTGGGTTTGATGGTTTCAGTCCCTCAGGGGGCCAGAGATGTGAAGGTTTCAGTGTCCCTCGGGGGGGATGTGATGGTTTTGTCGTCCCTCGGGGGCCAGAGATGTGATGGTTTGTGTCCCTCGTGGCCAGAGATTGATGGTGTCCCTCAGGGGCCAGAGATGTGTGACGGTTTTTTTTTGGCGTCCTCAGCGCAGCAGTGCTGTGCGATGTCCTCCTCCCATATAAAATGAAGAACATTCCTTTCAGTTTTCCATATTTAATACAAAGTAACATTTTATTCTCCAGAAGAAACTTTCATTAAAAAAACATAAATATTTATCCGGCTTTTACAAATAGAAATGGAGAGAAGAAAAGCCGGGGGATGGAGATGAATGGGCTCCGGGGATGGAGATGAATGGGCTCCGGGGATGGAGATGAATGGGCTCCGGGGATGGAGATGAATGGGCTCCTATTCATTTGTTATCACAGCCCGTCCTGTTCCCGAGCGTGGCGAGCGCGGCGTACGGTGCAGAGGAGAGCGGAAAAGGTCACGGCTCCATTTTGTGGGCCTTTACGGCTTAAGTGGCGGCCGAGCCGGAGAGAGATTACCGGAACAGTAAATACTCCTCTAACTGGCGTGTTATGTGTGAGCGCGGGGAATGGGAAGGCGGCGAGGCCGCGGATGGAACGCCGGCTAATTGAGGGCGATTGTTTCGATTCTACGAGGAATTTCTTTATTGGATATTGTCAGGCGGGAAGCAATGTAGCCGGAGGTTCCCCTTAGACTCCCGCGACTTTTCTTGGATTTGGGATCCATTTTCATGCAGATTTTACCGAGAACTTTTAAATCGTTCTGGGCGTGCGTTGTTCGTTCCAATGTATTTACAACTTCTGGGCAGAAACCTGCTGGGATTTAGAGCTGGGAAGAGGAGGAAATGTTTTTTATGTACATTGTGTGTTAAAATGATGAAAATCTGAAGAGCAGCTTTAAAGTGGCTGTGAAATGAACAAAGCCTATCCCTCTATAGTGTGCGCTTGCTTCAGTCCAAAGTACTACGTGTCATTTCTGTCTGCTGCCTCCTTCCCTTGCTTCCTGCATGAATCTCTTCTCACAGTCTATGGGGACACCAGAAAACAACCCCTTCTCCTGTAGCACACAGCAGGTGATTGGCAGCCTCAGCTGTGCATGTTTCCCCTATGAGACTGTGTAAAAAGGGGGCGTGTCCATTCCCTCCACTCAGGTCTCAGATGACAACTCTCTGCTCTATGCTGTGCAGCGTGTGAGATCAGATCCCCGCCCCCCTGCCCAGTTTCGGGACAAATGTATCCAGAGCTCAGGGCAAACATGCCAAACCGTGCCCCCCTCCCCACCCCAGGCTGTATGAATATTATGTTCCCCAGCAAAAATCCCCTCCTCCCCCCAAAAAAAAAATTGAGCACTAATCTGCATGCTTACCCCTTAAGAATAAATCCCCCCCCCCTGCTGAAATCCCCCCTCTCTGCCCTAATCTTTGCTCCTTCATCTCCCCCTTCCCACCTCAAAATCCTCTCTCTCCCCAAATCCCCCCCCAAAAAAAAAAATATCACCCCTCCTTGCACAAATCTATTGCCACACAAATTTCACCTCCCAGTACACACACACACCCACTCCAAATCCCCCCTCCCAGCACACAAATCCCCCCAATCCCCCTCTCCTAGCATAAATTGCCCCCAAAAAAAATTCCCCTCCTAGCACAAACACCCCCAAATTATCCCTACTTGCACAAATGCCCCCTCCCCCCCACCAAAAAAAAATCCCCTCCAAGCACAATTCCCCCCCAATCCCCTCTCCTAGCATAAATTCTCCCCCCTAAAAAAAGTAAAAAAAAGTCCTCTCCTAGCACAAAATCCCCCCCACAAATCCCCCCTCCTAGCACAAATTCTCCCCCAAAAAATGTTCCCCCATTTACCCCCCCGCACAAACACCCCCAAATCATCCCTACCAGCACAAATGCCCCCCCACCACCCAAAAAAAAATCCCCTCTTAGCACAAATTCCCTCTTCTCTCTCTACCTAATCTGTGCTCCTTCATCTCCCCCACCTCCAAGCTCAAATCCTCTCTCTCCCCCAAATCCCCCCCCCCCCCAAAAAAAAATCACTCCCTCATTTCACAAATCTATTACTCCTCAAATTTCCCCTCCAAGTGCACACACAACCCCCACACTCCAAATCCCCCCCTCCCAGCACAAATCCCCCCTAGCCCCCCCCCCCAAAAAAAAAATCCCCTTCTACCACAAACACCCCCAAATCATCCCTACTAGCACAAATGCCCCCCCCCCCCACCACCCACCACCAAAAAACAAAATCCCCTCCAAGCACAAATACGCCCCCCCAACCCACCCTCCTAGCATACATTCTCCCCCCTAAAAAAATGTTCCCTCCTAGCACAAACACCCCCAAATCATCCCTTCTAGAACAAATGCCCCCCACCAAAAAAGAATCCCCTCCAAGCACAAATCCCCCCTCCTAGCACAAATTCTCCTCCCAAAAAAGTCCCCCCCCCAGCACAAACACCCCCAAATCATCCCTACCAGCACAAATGCCCCCCCCCCCCCAAAAAAAAATCACCACTTAGCACAAATCCCTTCTTCTCTCTACCTAATCTTTGCTCCTTCATCTCCCTCCTCCAAGCTCAAATCCTCTCTCTCCCCCAAACCCCCCCCCCCCCCAAAAAAAAAATCACCCCCCTCCTTTCACAAATCTATTACTCCTCAAAATTTCCACTCCAAGTACACATCCTGCCCCCCCCCCCCCCCCCTCTAAATCTCAGCTCCCAGCCAGCACAAATGCACCCAATCCCCTCCTAGCATAAACTTCTTCCCCCCAAATAAATTCCCCTACTAGCACAAATCTCTTCTCTCTACCATATCACCTCTTCTAGACAAACCCCCCCTCTTAGCACAATCAATATCAGTGGAATAATAGATTGCCATCATTGGTGTTAGCCGGAGGAATAGTGCCTCGTCATTGGTGTCAGTGGGAGGAATAGTGCCTCGTCATTGGTGTCAGTGGGAGGAATAGTGCCTCGTCATTGGTGTCAGTGGGGGAATAGTGCACCATCATTGGTGTCAGTGGGAGGAATAGTGCCCCATCATTGGTGTCAGTGGGAGGGAATAGTGCCCCATCATTGGTATCAGTGGGAGGAATAGTGTCCCCATCATTGGTGTCAGTGGGGGAGGAATAGTGCCCCATCATTGGTGTCAGTGGGGAGGAATAAGTGCCCCGTCATTGGTGTCAATGGGAGGAATAGTGTCCCATCATTGGTGTCAGTGGGAGGAATAGTGCCCTATCATTGGTGTCAGTGGGAGGAATAGTGTCCCATCATTGGTGTCAGTGGGGGGAATAGTGCCCCATCATTGGTATCAGTGGGAGGATAGGAATAGTGCCCCATCATTGGTGTCAGTGGGAGGAATAGTGTCCCATCATTGGTATCAGTGGGGGGAGGAATAGTCCCCCATCATTGGTGTCAGTGGGAGGAATAGTGCCCCATCATTGGTGTCAATGGGAGGAATAGTGTCCCATCATTGGTGTCAGTGGGAGGAATAGTGCCCATCATTGGTGTCAGTGGGAGGAATAGTGTCCCATCATTGGTGTCAGTGGGGGGAATAGTGCCCCATCATTGGTATCAGTGGGAGGAATAGTGCCCCATCATTGGTGTCAGTGGGGGGAATAGTGCCCCATCATTGGTGTCAGTGGGAGGAATAGTGCCCCATCATTGGTGTCAGTGGGAGGAATAGTGTCCCATCATTGGTATCAGTGGGAGGAATAGTGCCCCATCATTGGTGTCAGTGGGAGGAATAGTGTTTCATCATTGGTGTCAGTGGGAGGAATAGTGCCCCATCATTGGTGTCAATGTGGGAGGAATAGTGTCCCATCATTGGTGTCAGTGGGAGGAATAGTGCCCCATCATTGGTGTCAGTGGGGAGGAATAGTGTCCCCTCAATCATTGGTGTCAGTGGGGGGAATAGTGCCCCATCATTGGTATCAGTGGGAGGAATAGTGCCCCATCATTGGTGTCAGTGGGAGGAATAGTGCCCCATCATTGGTGTCAGTGGGAGGAATAGTGCCCCATCATTGGTGTCAGTGGGGGGAATAGTGCCCATCATTGGTGTCAGTGGGAGGAATAGTGTCCCATCATTGGTATCAGTGGGAGGAATAGTGCCCCATCATTGGTGTCAGTGGGAGGAATAGTGTCCCCATCATTGGTATCAATGGGAGGATAGTGCCCAATTATTAGTATCAATAGTGCCCCATCATTGGTGTCAGTGGGAGGAATAGTGCCCCCATCATTGGTGTCTAGTGGGAGGAATAGTGCCCCATCATTGGTGTCAGTGGGAGGAATAGTGCCCCATCATTGGTGTCAGTGGGAGGAATAGTGCCCCATCATTGGTGTTAGTGGGAGGAATAGTGCCCCCATCATTGGTGTCAGTGGGAGGAATAGTGCCCCATCATTGGTGTCAGTGGGAGGAATAGTGCCCCATCATTGGTGTCAGTGGGAGGGAATAGTGCCCCATCATTGGTATCAGTGGGAGGAATAGTGCCCCATCATTGGTGTCAGTGGGAGGAATAGTGTTCCATCATTGGTGTCAATGGGAGGAATAGTGCCCCATCATTGGTGTCAGTGGGAGGAAAGTAGTGCCCCCATCATTGGTGTCAGTGGGAGGAATAGTGCCCCATCATTGGTATCAGTGGGGGGAGAACAGTGTCCCCATCATTGGTATCAGTGGGGGGAATAGTGCCCCATCATTGGTGTCAGTGGGAGGAATAGTGCCCCATTATTGGTGTCAGTGGGAGGAATAGTGCCCCATCATTGGTATCAGTGGAAGGGAATAGTGCCCCATCATTGGTGTCAGTGGGAGGAATAGTGCCCCATTATTGGTGTCAGTGGGAGGAATAGTGCCCCATCATTGGTATCAGTGGGAAGGAATAGTGCCCCATCATTGGTATCAGTGGAGGAATAGTGCCCCATCATTGGTGTCAGTGGAAGGAATAGTGCCCCATCATTGGTATCAGTGGGAGGAATAGTGCCCCATCATTGGTGTCAGTGGGAGGAATAGTGCCCCATTATTGGTGTCAGTGGGAGGAATAGTGCCCCATCATTGGTATCAGTGGAAGGAATAGTGCCCCATCATTGGTATCAGTGGAAGGAATATTGTCCCATCATTGGTATCAGTGGAAGGAATATTGTCCCATCATTGGTATCAGTGGAGGAATAGTGCCCCATCATTGGTGTCAGTGGGAGGAATAGTGTCTCATCACTGGTATCAGTGGGAGGAAATAGTGCTCCATTATTGGTGTCAGTGGGAGGAATAGTGCCCCATTAATTGGTATCAGTGGGGGGAATAGTGCCCATCATTGGTGTCAGTGGAGGAATAGTGCCCCATCATTGGTATCAGTGGAAGGAATAGTGCCCCATCATTGGTGTCAGTGGGAGGAATAGTGTCTCATCACTGGTATCAGTGGGAGGAATAGTGCCCCATCATTGGTGTCAGTGGGAGGAATAGTGCCCCGTCATTGGTGTCAGTGGGAGGAATAGTGCCCCATCATTGGTGTCAGTGGGAGGAATAGTGCCCCGTCATTGGTGTCAGTGGGAGGAATAGTGTCCCATCATTGGTGTCAGTGGGAGGAATAGTGCCCCATCATTGGTGTCAGTGGGAGGAATAGTGCCCCATCATTGGTGTCAGTGGAGGAATAGTGCCCTGTCATTGGTGTCAGTGGGAGGAATAGTGCCCCATCATTGGTGTCAGTGGGAGGAATAGTGCCCCTATCATTGGTGTCAGTGGGAGGAATAGTGCCCCATCATTGGTGTCAGTGGGAGGAATAGTACCCCAAAGGCTGGATAAAGGCCTGCAAAGGGTCACACCTGACCTTCTGATCAGACTGGACCCCACGGGTCTCTCTAGATCATACAAGCACTATATCCTGCATGTTGCGGGGATGGGGCAGGCACATTTTCTATTGGAGGGCCAGCCTCCTTGAAGGCGAGGATGGACAAGGCAGTCCGGTTGGGTTTCTTGGCCGGGCCGTGGCTGTCCTTCTTCTACATGGTTCCTCGTGGTTCTCCTGAGCTCAGGATCATCCATCCTCCCGTCCCAATAAATCTGCAATTATTCCCCAATAATGAAGTACCAGGCAGGCCGGAGATGACTGATGTACTCCAGGAGGGGAGCGAGTCCGCCGGAGACTGGAGAAGGCCATCAAGAGCTTCCGTCTTTCCGCCATATTTCCTCCCCTCATCCAACGCCTTTTATTTGCATTGTGACACCGAGGACGGGAGTCGTTGTAAATGGCTAAATGATTTGGCAATTACGGGGTAATGGGACGCAATAAGGAGCGCGCTGCATTCTAATTCGCCGTTCAGAGGTGGTAATACAAGGAGGCCGCCGCAGTTATAAACAGCCGTGATTGCCTTGGCAGTCTCCTAATGGTGGAGGGGGGGAGGGGGGCCGGGGGGGGGGAGGGGGGCCGGAGAGCGCCCTGAGAAGGAGATATAAAGGAGACATTGTGGATCAGCGGGGGAAGTATTAGGACCTTTATGGGATGTTATTTATTTGAAGACAGTAAGTGGCCAATTGGCTCTAGATTGCAGTACGGCAAGGACTAAGGGGACCCTAATGGAGGATATGGGTGTGTGACTGTGGGGGAGGGGACATTAGAGTGTAAGCTCCTCTGGTACAGAGACTGATGGGACTGCGGGGGGAGGGGACATTAGCGTGTAAGCTCCTCTGGTACAGAGACTGATGTGACTGTGGGGGGAGGGGACATTAGAGTGTAAGCTCCTCTGTACAGAGACTGATGTGACTGTGGGGGAGGGGACATTAGAGTGTAAGCTCCTCTGGTACAGAGACTGATGGGACTGTGGGGGAGGGGACATTAGAATGTAAGCTCCTCTGGTACAGAGACTGATGTGACTGTGGGGGAGGGGACATTAGAGCGTATGCTCCTCTGGTACAGAGACTGATGTGACTGTGGGGGGAGGGGACATTAGAGTGTAAGCTCCTCTGTACAGAGACTGATGGGACTGTGGGGGAGGGGACATTAGAGCGTAAGCTCCTCTGGTGCAGAGACTGATGTGTGACTGTGGGGGGGGGAGATTAGAGCGTATGCTCCTCTGGTACAGAGACTGATGTGACTGTGGGGGGAGGGGACATTAGAGTGTAAGCTCCTCTGTACAGAGACTGATGTGACTGTGTGGGGAGGGGACATTAGAGCGTAAGCTCCTCTGGTACAGAGACTGATGTGACTGTGGGGGGAGGGGACATTAGAGCGTAAGCTCCTCTGGTGCAGAGACTGATGTGACTGTGGGGGAGGGGACATTAGAGCGTATGCTCCTCTGGTACAGAGACTGATGTGACTGTGGGGGAGGGGACATTAGAGTGTAAGCTCCTCTGGTACAGAGACTGATGTGACTGTGGGGGAGGGGGACATTAGAGTGTAAGCTCCTCTGTACAGAGACTGATGGGACTGTGGGGGAGGGGGGACATTAGAGCGTAAGCTCCTCTGGTGCAGAGACTGATGTGACTGTGGGGGAGGGGGGGGACATTAGAGCGTAAGCTCCTCTGGTGCAGAGACTGATGTGACTGTGGGGGAGGGGACATTAGAGCGTAAGCTCCTCTGGTGCAGAGACTGATGGGACTGTGGGGGAGGGGACATTAGAGTATAAGCTCCTCTGGTACAGAGACTGATGTGACTGTGGGGGGGGGGGTGGACATTAGAGTGTAAGCTCCTCTGTACAGAGACTTATGGGACTGTAGGGGAGGGGACATTAGAGTATAAGCTCCTCTGGTGCAGAGACTGATGTGACTGTGGGGGAGGGGACATTAGAGTGTAAGCTCCTCTGTACAGAGACTTATGGGACTGTGGGGGGAGGGGGACATTAGAGTATAAGCTCCTCTGGTACAGAGACTGATGTGACTGTGGGGGGAGGGGGACATTAGAGCGTAAGCTCCTCTGGTGCAGAGACTGATGTGACTGTGGGGGAGGGGACATTAGAGTATAAGCTCCTCTGGTGCAGAGACTGATGTGACTGTGTTGGGGGAGGGGACATTAGAGTATAAGCTCCTCTGGTACAGAGACTGATGTGACTGTGGGGGAGGGGACATTAGAGTGTAAGCTCCTCTGTACAGAGACTTATGGGACTGTGGGGGAGGGGACATTAGAGTATAAGCTCCTCTGGTGCAGAGACTGATGTGACTGTGGGGGAGGGGACATTAGAGTGTAAGCTCCTCTGTACAGAGACTTATGGGACTGTGGGGGAGGGGACATTAGAGTATAAGCTCCTCTGGTACAGAGACTGATGTGACTGTGGGGGGGGGGACATTAGAGCGTAAGCTCCTCTGGTGCAGAGACTGATGTGACTGTGGGGGAGGGGACATTAGAGCGTAAGCTCCTCTGGTGCAGAGACTGATGTGACTGTGGGGGAGGGGACATTAGAGTATAAGCTCCTCTGGTACAGAGACTAACAGAATAACAGAAAAGAAAATGACTTTTTTCTGAAAATAACTAAAATACAAATAGAACTAAATACAAAGAAACAGAAAACATTATTATCTGAAAACTTACTAAATTATGCAAAACACAACCTGACCGTCACCTGCACCCCCCTTCAGGCTAAGAAATGATGAAACACTGATCCTACACACTGATCCCACACACTGATCCCACACACTGATCCCACACACGGATCCCACACATCGATCCCATACACTGATCCCACACATTGATCCCACACACTGATCCCACACACTGATCCCATACACTGATCCCACACACTGATCCCATACATTGATCCCATACATTGATCCCACACATCGATCCCATACATCGATCCCACACACTGATCCCACACATTGATCCCATACACTGATCCCACACACTGATCCCATACACTGATCCCACACACTGATCCCATACATTGATCCCACACATCGATCCCATACATCGATCCCACACACTGATCCCACACATTGATCCCACACACTGATCCCACACACTGATCCCATACACTGATTCACACACTGATCCCACACACTGATCCCACACACTGATCCCATACACTGATCCCATACACTGATC